TTCCATTCATATAATCGTACAATTCAAACATGGAGAAGGCAGGCTTTTTGCTATTGCCATTTTTTCTATTGTTTTCATTTCTCATATATTCAATCACTAGGCATAGTGACAGGTATGTGACTTTTGATTTGCCTTTTTGTATTAAGAGTGAATGTGGCATGTATGTGTGGGGTGTGTGTGTGCTTATCCTGAAACTGGTAGAATCTTTCTGATGAGAGTAAACAATAGTATGTGCCTGTTACACTATGGAGCATCTAAAATGCAAGTCTGATAGCATGAGTATTTGTTTGTTTTTTAAACATGAGGCAGAGATATTTCATACTTCTACCAGGTGAACACAGAAAGGAGATGTCCCATCCTTTCTCCTAACACTCCTCAAAAATCTTTACTCTGCCTGTCAAAAACCTGGAGTGTGACTAATGTACTAGTTACTTTTTTGTTGCTGGGATAAAACACCATGACCAAAGCAACTTATAGGAAGAGTTTATTTGGGGCTTATGGTTCCAGAAAGATAGGAGTCCATCATCATGAATGTAGGGGAGCATGGCAGTGGGTAGGCAGGAATGGTATTGAAACAACAGCTAAGAGCTCACATCTTCATCTACAAATAAGAAGCAGAGAGCATTAGCTTAAAATGGAGCAAATGTTTTGAAACCTCAAAGCTGGCCCCAATGACATACTTCTGCTAGCAAGGTCATACCTCATAGTCAGTTGTCCTCAAATAGCTACCACCTGAAGACCAAGTATTCAAATACCCATGATTTAAGGGGTCATTTCATTCAAACTACCACAATGACATTTATCAGAAATTACTTGTTTTCAGAATTTATAGAATTCCCACACTGTTTCAGCTCAAGGGAAGATGTCAAAGAGAATGAATCAGATTGTAATATTTACTCAGAACAGCATTGATGATTCCTGAAATGTTTATGTAGAGAGCATTTTCTAGAGCCTGTTTTCATAGGTACTTTGATGCTTATGGATAGCAAATGGAATCTAGTAATATTCTTGAATAATTAACCAACAAGTTTCATTTACAGCAGGAAGTTATTGACATTAACAGATAAAATGCAGACAACAGACTGTTTGAGAATCTTTAATGCGTGGGATAATGAGAACGGAAGCAACATGTTAAACACAGCATTTTCCCCTGTGAAGAGAATCCTGTATCATGTTACTAAGATGATACATAGCTGGAGAGCTTATGCTCAATACTCTTGGTTCCATCAGTCCCTGGAGTATGTTAAAGAGAATCATGTGCCCAGATTCTGTGAGAGTGACAAAGAGAAAGCCGGCTATTTGGAGTCACCCCATCACTGTGTGCGTTACATTGTGTCTGCTTCATTGGTGTAAGATCTCTGACTCGAATCTTGTGGATTTTCTGATGACTGTGTTTGCAAACTTTCCACATTCACACTTAGTGCAGCTCTCAGGGGTGAGAGCTTATTCTCCCGGTGAGGATTTCTGTTGTATCAAGTCTGTAATGAAGATAGCAGTAGGCTTGAGCTGTATTGTGTTTAAAAAAACCCATCAAAGCATTTTTACATTTGTTCTCTCATTTGATTCTTTCTTCATCCATATAGGGAAGGCTAAGTTCATTCTAATCCCTCTTTCACAAATGAGGAAATCAAGGGGCTGAAATATTATGTGTTGAAAGATAACAATCTAAGTGAGTTGCAGGCCTGAAAGACATGTCATTGTAACTCCCTTATTATGCCTTCAGGTTACAGAGGCAAACATTGAACATGAACATGAACACAGTCAGGTACAAGGACTGGTATATTTTTATTGTTGTTTTAATTTTGATAGAGTCCCACTACGTAGCTCAGGCTGGCTTGAGATTTTAACCATTTTGATTCTTTATCTGAATACTGTAATTGTAGGTATGCTCCACTATCTCTCCATTTTAATATAGCTTATATATGACTTTTAATCTCATTACTAAGATATGCTGGACTTTCGTTCATTCTCTAAATATTGCTCCCTGTGAATTTTTCTGTTATATACTATGCCTATCTTCCTTTGTCAGATTTTCTAGATTTTTATGCTATAGTTATTACTGATGTAATCAAATGTATTGCTTTATATTAAATATAGAAAATATCATAGAAAGTCACATGTCTAGTACAAATTAAAGTAATTCTCAGTTGGGAAAACAACAAACACATTAAAAAAAACCTCATAAACTCCTTCATTCAATTAATTAAATTCATAAGTAGAGCAAATACATGAATGAATAACCAACATAGGAGATCATCAACATGACTCAAAAATAATGAGCAGATCAAAGAAACATGATTCTTTTTATCCCAAAGTAAACAAATTAGTTCAAAGTAGCATTGGAGAGGATGAAAAGAAGCAGTCACTTTTATATACAATAGCATTATTGATACAATATCTTTGTCAGTGAAATCATCACAATTTCTCAAAAATAGAGGCATGTTTTCTTTGAGCAAGTCTACTTCTCAGGCATACCCGAATCTCAGTGAGAGAGACTTTAAGAATATGCAATACAGTATAGTTTGTAAAGCAGCATGACTGTGATGTGTGGGACGAGAGAGATGGTCTGCAGTTATAAGCACTCACTGACTTTGCAGAAGACCAGAGTTAGTTAGGTTCCCAGCTACTACAATGGTGACTTTACAACCACCTGTAACTCCAGCTCCAGAGAGATCTAATGCCTCTTGGGCACATACACTCACATCACATTTATAGAAACCCTATATAAACAATTAAAAAACACCTTTAAAAGGGACTATGATGCGTGAACCAAAGAAACTATCTTACTTAATGGAAAAGAATACACAGCATATTTGATTCTCAGTATGCAGTGACCTGCAGGGCATATCAGGACTATTAAATTTTATTTAACTGCTATAATGAATCTATATTTATTTTCCTAAGGATCTACTGTGTGTCTTTGATAACTTTGTCATTTCTATTTGAAAAGATTGATTTTATGTTTTGGAAATGTGATTTAGTATTTCGGTCCATAGTTTTCTGCTTGATTATTAGCAAATGTATGATTCTGGTTGAAGCATGGAGCTGCAAAATCATAAAAGTCAGAGTGTATTGCTTGAGGTTTTTTTTGGGTCTTTTTTATTCTGTTTGTTTTAATCTATTTCAATTTTTTTGTTGTATGTTATTTTATTTTATTTTTTTTAGATGACTAACAAGAAGAAATAAGGGTGTGGATGTGGATGGGAAGCAAAGTGAGGAGGATCTGGGGAGGGGGAAACCATAATCAGAATCTATTGTATGAAAAAAACTTATTTTCAATAAAAGAAAGAATAAAAAAGAACAACAAGGGACCCCAGACATTTTATGGTCCATTCCTGTTTTAGAGGTGAAGACTCTAAGTGAAATAGAAATTATGTTGTATCATGTGAGTGCATTTTATTTACAGCATGAAATTTAGGGATGAAATAAAATTATTTAATGTTAAATATGTTAAGTATAGTGTTAAATATATATATATATGTTATATATTAAGTATATAAAATTTAATGTTGTCAGTGGTGAAAACTTTTTAATTGCTTCTATGGTAATAAGCTGTCTGTAGACATGCCTTCTGTCCTCTCTGTCCTTTGATTCTTAAAACTTTGAAGCTGTTGGTTTAGTCCCACGATACTGTTGGCAATGACTCCATATTTATTGAAAATGTTTTAAAGACAATCAGTAACTCAAGGTCATTTTAGTTCTATCAGTGTGTCTACACTTGTAAGCATGTTCTCATATTTTGTGATTTTTTTGGTCTAATGAAATATCTCCCTTCTTTGAAAGTTATGTTTAATTAAATTAGCATTTGTTAGGGCAAGTCCTCTAAGCATACGTTTTAACCGTTCTTATATTGTGTTGGGTTAAGAGTTCCCTTTTCCCAGTTCTGAAGTCTACCTTTAGTTCCCATTCTTTGGTTACTCATAGCACCAACTGCTCAAATTACAACATATTCTCATGTACTCTTACTGTTGAGCGTGGTTTGTTTCATAGATAAGCCCAGGTTGTAAGTCACCCATTGCATCGACCAACTCACTCCCTGTGATTTTAGCAGTACATTCAGACTAAGAATTAATAATTAAATCTCGTATTTCTGACTTAAAGAAACTGTGGATTACAGTTTAAATGTTGGGATTTTCAGATGTTGGGGAATTGTAATAGAGATGGGAGGCAGCATGAAAGGCTGGTACAGCAGGGACATGGGGACCATCTGGAATGCGGCCTGCCTTTGGCAGAAAGTGCAGACGAAGGAGTTAGCAGAGGGTAGAAATTAAACTGTCTTCAAGCAGCCAGGTCCTGTTTATAAGCTTCTCTGAGACAAACCTAAGAAAACTGGAATTTACGAAAGCATCTGTATTATCGTGCTAACAGCTTCTCAGACAGGCAGAGGCAATCCGAATTCTAACATTAGTATGTTTTCCACCTTTGTCCCTCCCTCCTTCCTTCCTTTCTCTGTTGGGGATTGAACCCAGGACCTTCCGCACGCTAGGCAGGCTCTCCATCTCAGCCATATCTCTAGCCTCTGTGTTCTTTTTTTTTTTTTTTTTTTTTTTTTGTATAGAGAAGTGGTTCATTTTGCCAGATTCTTCAGAGGACTTGCTCCACATTTCCCCTACATATGGGCTCTCATTTGAAAAGCGAAGCTGGATTCCTTTGATCATATATGTTTTCAATGGTTTCTAGGAAAAACGAAGTTTCAAAAGACAGGCTGTAAGAAAATGTTTAAATATTAAAGTAGGACATATCTAACATAACCTCAAAGACATAATGTTTACAATACACAAATTGATTTATTTATCAAGTGAGGGCATTACAATATAAAAACAAATCTCATGTTTATGACTTCTTATTTGCCAGATTTGTCCAGGAGCTCTTAAATCTAACCTATAATTAAACACCGACACTCTCAATAGTTTGAAATATGCACATTTCACAAGAATACATTACATTTCCTATCAACTCTCTCCAACCAAATCCAACCCTATGACTCTTGTCTCCTTCAGGCAGAGTTCACGGCCATGCGGGAGCAGTACATGCGTGGGGGCGAAGGCTTCATCATCTGCTATTCTGTTACTGACCGCCAGTCATTCCAGGAGGCTGCCAAGTTCAAGGAGCTTATTTTCCAGGTCCGTCACACCTATGAAATTCCCCTGGTGCTGGTGGGTAACAAAATTGACCTGGAGCAGTTCCGCCAGGTGAGTGCAAATTTTCTATTAGCTTGTCTCTGCCTCCAGTGGTACCTGGTATCAAGTATGACTGCATTCTGTTTCAGTTAATCTACCACATGTTTTTTTTTTCTCCCAAGAAATATATTATTTTCCTTTATAGTGTGTTTCCTTCCTCTGTAATCATCGGTCCCATATGCTGTTTCATAGTATCCTCACCGTTCTCTGTATTCTTGAATCTGTCAGGTGTTATATTTGCTTTGAACAATAGTGTATAAAAGAAATGACCCTGTGGAGCTTTTGAGTTTGAGATTTAAAAATCTTGCAGCTTTTGTGTTTGCCACTTGGAATGTTCACATTTGAGTTCCAAACTTCACATGAGACCCACGTGTCATGTGCACCAGGGTCAGAGCTGTCCTTACCAAGGTACCATGCATGTAGGAAAAGCCATCTTGCATGCTTACTGAGCAGTCATCTTCTCCTGTCGTTACATGAGACACCTCAGCCAATCCACCTGGTACAGCAAATGTCCCCCGGTTGAGCATTATTTGTTTTTTGACTTATGAAGTCCATAACAGACATAAAGATTTAAGTCACTAAGTTTTTGAGTCATTTTTCATGCATTGATAGATAAAAGTCTTCCCTTTGTGTATTGAATGAGAAATTGCTCTCATATACAGTTTGTCATTTCTAAACCATGGCTGCTCTACCTTCACGATATTCAGATAGTTTCATGTATTCTTCAAGCAAACTTCAGAAGGGAGAAACTGTATGTATCTTCAGTGACAAGTTTTCCAGACTTGCCATCATTCATTACAGTGTGTTCTCATCAGACCAGACACTGCTTCTTAGGCATCACCTGATGGGGAGGCTGTCACGGTGCCCTCTCTGAGATGCCTGCATGGAACCTGTAACCCAGCTGCTGTCTGTTCAGGGACCAGGAAAACCACCACAAGATTCCATTGCTGTGACTTAGATTATAGAAAGGAACTTGCATGCAAATCAAATTTTTGTAAACCTAATTTTCTAAATTGAGTTGCTTAGTTGTAATTTGGGATGCTTCATCTTTATTTATACTGGCTTTAAATTTGAACTGGCTTTTAATAGTTTCTGTTATTCCATTTAGTGATTAATTTTTAAACCAGCTACTACTGTAACTTACTAATAAGAACTTTTGCTAAGGTAGGAATAATAGCCAAAGCAAACAGAGTTTTTTTCCCCTAATTTGTGTATCTTATGACTTTGAATTTTCATGTTTAAAGCATTTAATGTTTTCTTAAAATGGAAAGAGCTCATATAAAGCCAATGTTTAAAAAGCTTTGCTTAACATGAAAATGCAGCTATTTACAGCAATGCTTTTTTTTTGTGGTGACTTTTTTCTATTTTATATTGTACTTCAGATTCTAAGCTTCTTAAGGTGCTAGCTAACTATTGTTATGGAAGCTGCCTTAGTTACTGTTCTATTGGTAGGAGGAGGCACCAGGACCAATGAACTTTTAAAAGAAAGCATTCAGTTGGGGCTCATTTGCAGTTTCAGAGTGTTCATGATCTTCATGGCAGGGAGCATGGTGGCAGGAGGCCATGAAACTGGAGCATTAGCCGAGAGCTCACATGATCTGCAAGTTGCAGCAGAGAGAGAGTGTGTGTGTGTGTGTGGGGGGGGGGGGGGGCATGGGCTTTTGAAACCTCCAAGCCCATGCACAGTGACACGTGTCCTCCAGCAAGGCCACACCTCCTCATTTTTCCCCAACAGTCCCACTAACTGGGAACCAAGCATTCAAATATATGAGCCTATGGGGAGCCATTTTTTTATTCAAACCAAAAGCAGAAGCTATGCTGGTTTGTTTCCTGTGTAACTGATCTGTTGCTGTTTTTCTACTTTATTTTGCTTTTGCAAAATTGTTTATTGTGATAGGATTACACCTCTGTAAGAGGAGGTGTTCATCTCAGTAATTTATTACCACCCTATCCCTCACCTACTTTGCAAAAGAAAGAAGAGGGTCACAGTGTCTGAACCTCCAAGATACACCCATCTGAAGAGTGGGGTGCTTTGATCTCTGTCTTGGTTAGTTTTTGTCCACTTGACACAATCCAGGGTCATCAGCGAAGAGGGGATCTCAGTTGAGAAAACGCCTCTATTAGATTGGCCTCTAGGCAAGTCTGTGAGGGCATTTTCTTGATAAGTGATTGATGTGGGAAGAAACAGTCCACTGTGGGCAGTGTCACCCCTAGGATGGTGGCCCTGGATTGTATAAGGAATAAGTCTGAGCAAGCCATGGGGAGCAGGTCAGTAAGAAGACTTCTTCCATGATCTTTGCATCAGTTTCTGCCTCCAGGCTCCTGCCTTGAGTTCACTTCCTAGCTTCCCTCAATGGTATACTGTAACCTGTAAGCCAAATAAGTCTTTTCTTTCCTGAGTCACCTTTGATATTTGTCACAGCAACAGAAACTTAACTAATACCCTTTCCTTAGGGCTTCTAGGAAGAAGCATGAGGGGACACTCATACTTGTACATCATTAGTGATTACTGGGGGGCAGTACCTGCACATCAGTGATTACCGTGCCTCCTTAGTTGTACACGGAGAGTTCCTGGAGAACAAACAGCACCGACTGGGCTACTCAGGGGAGCTGTGACTCTGAGAAAACTAGGAATATGAGAACATTAGGAAACAGGTTCAGTCCACACCTTGTAGAGTGATTTTGTGATTCCAAATAGTGGTGACATTGGCTTCCCCATGCTTTCTAGGCATTGATTTTTCTAGGATCAAAGAAGACTCTTGGCTCAAAGACTCAAAACGATCCCTGAGGCAGGTTCATGAGAGCCCATCACACCCTGGAAAGTTGGCCGCTCCTTCCCAGTCCGCACTAAAGTGAATCACAGCAACACAAACCACAAAGCACTGAAGCCAGCACTATGACTAAACAGGGGAACAGTCACATTGGACTTCACAGGCGTCCTTTTAGATAAAACAAACACACATGAGAGTCACAGAGAGTGAAAAACCATGGACACACAATTACCACCTTCTTAAAGGTGCTCCTGCACCAAGTGTCCAGTAATGAAGTCTCCGATAATGAAGTGCTGATGTGGAAATTGGGCTTCTGGCTGTGGTGTTTGTGATAGAAATGACCATTCCTGAAATTGCAGAATGGGCTTTTTCTTTGCAATGTGATTTCAATTTACACTTTATTTTCATCTTTCAGCACTGTGCTGTTGAAATGTAAGCATTTGAAGAATGAGACTATTAAAGAGATATATCTATCGACAGAACTTGACTTTACAAAACTATTGTAGCTAGCAAGAAAATTAAGACTAAAACAGACTATGTACTGTATATTACATATATGCTTGAAAAGTTATTTCTGTATTTTACATCTGAAACACACATAGGTATCTATCTATCTATCTATCTATTTATCTATCTATCTATCTATCTATCTATCTATCTATCTATCTACCTACCTACCTATCTACCTACCTACCTATCTATTGTCCATCTATCTATCTATCTATCATCTAAGCAAAGATGCTAACACCAAGACTGTTTATAACTCAAATAAGTCCTATGAGGCTTCCTGGAGTAACAAAGACCAGTTGTTAAAGTCCCTGACACAAAATAGGTTGGACTTGTGTAGTAATGAGGGACTAAGGATGAGTGTCTCACAAGGCATCTCTTCTTTCTCAGTCTTCTTTGAAATAGGTTAAAAACAGAAGAGTTCTTCTATTTAAAGCTGCCTATTTAACTTTGTAGGTGCTTATATTGCTAAGGTATTTGGGTGAGCTTTATGTCCTTTCAGCTAAAAAAAAGATGAATAAAGAAATAAGTAATGATGATTAGAGCATCAAGATTTTGTTGTTTTTTACCTGCTTGAGTTAAAATGAAAGAAAGAGTTCTTTGTAAGAGCTAATATTTTATTCAGGAATATTCATTCTGGTGCTGATGATGGCATTGATGAATTAGTCAAGCATGGGACTTCATTAATTATATTTAATTCTTACCACAATCATGAAATTGGCTCCCAAATGATGTGATGCTTATTTATCTAGGAGTCAACTCAAGCTTCTAGACATTCAGGAATTTGCAGAATTTCATGCAGTCAGTTAAAGATAAGAGGTAAAACTTAGCATTTTCTGATTTAACGTTTCACTGCTGTACTGTGGGCCTGTCAAGCACCAGTTCATCATGAATGCATTCTTTGTTTTGCTTTTGGTTTTTCCTAGATTAAGGATCATAGGATGCCTCTCAGATAATAGAACACGAAACAAAAACAAACAAACAAACAAACAAACAAACAAACAAACACCCCAGCTTTTTATTGCCAAGTAGTCATAGGGAGGATCAGAAACCTAATTCTTTGAGTGTGAATGGAGATCTTCAACCCCTGGACAAGACAGTTAGCCAAAGCAAGGAGAAAGAGTGAGGGAAAATAAGAAAAAGACAAGGGTCCTGTGTTATGAAAGACTGTTTCATACAGCTGGACAATCTTTTCCAGAATCCAATGCAATGACTTTTCTATGTGCGATGTTAGGGTTTGACCCCAGGACCTGGCATAGGACATGAGGCAGCACTAAGTTCTGTCCGACTCTGCATCCAGACTGTTCTGTGACTTCCCGACTCTCAGACAGCAGCACTAGGTCCTTGAGCGTCTGTGATCCCCTTGTTCCTCCTGGTCAAGTCCTCTGACATCACACTGGGGAGAGAAAGATCATTTCTGTTTGTGGAAAACCCTAACCAATTCCATAAAGAAGTCTTATGAATTGGAATGACTTCCAGAGATTTGGGGGATAAAGTTTTCCATCAGTCACAGACTACAAGCTGTCTTATCCTGAAGACAGAACATGGCAAATCCTTCAGTTATAAGAAATAAACTTGAAGCCAGGAGCTACTGCTCTCCAAAGTTGGGCAGCTCAGTGGTGCCTTGGGATCATGGAAGCATTTCTGTATTTTTCAATGAGATATCTAGTACCAGAAGTATTGATCTTAATTAGAGGTGGGTAATTATAACTCTGGGCGTTGGGGATGGGTTTG